CCGGCTTCCAGCCGCCCGGAGCAGCCGTGGTTCTGGGATGAGGCAGAGCCTTGCAGTGTCCCGGGGGGCTGTCGCTGCTCTCCTTTGTTTGCGTGTGCCGTTGTCCTGTGTAAAACCTCACCTTGGCGAAATGGAAACAAGTTTGCTGTACTTCTTGACTTTGTGTCTTCTTCCACCTCGCTCTGGTCTCTGGTTGCGCTGCTGCTCCTGGTTGTAAGCTCTGTGGGCAGGGACAGCGTCCCACTGTGTCTGTGAAGCACTGTATGCGTTGCCGTGGTGTGTGAAACCAGTACCGCCATCACCATAAAATGCTTACTCCGGACCCCTTTCGCTGTCTAAGTCCCAGTACTAGTTACATAAAAGCAGAGTTGCTTCCGTCAGGATTCTTGTTAGTTTGCTTTTCCTTTTCCCAGACCTTAAGGGTACCTGGATATAATGCTCATCAACACTGATCAAGCGATAAAGCGTCTTGTCTGCTTCCACCATTGTAGTTTATCCGTAAATGGGAGAAGGCAAAACCAGTGAACCCTATTTGACAGCTGTTCTGAGCCGTCAGCGGTGAAAAACACTGGGAAGTCACTGCAGCTGGTGCATGCTCTCCAGTCTAGGAAGGTCTTGATACCCAGCGCGGTCCGTACCTTCCTGAAATACGTCCGTGGCTGTGGGAGGTCTGGTCCCATCAGTGCATACCAGTTCGTTGTGATGTGTCTGTGTAACATGCAGGACAGGTCAGCAACTGTGTGTGCAGGTATGGTTTTGGTTCCGAGAGGAGGGGCTGAACACGTCCTTCAAAAGTTGCTGCGCCCGCAGTACTGCCCGCTGAGGCTCCTGCCCTGCAGCGCCACGACCGCTCACTCTCTGGTGTGCCAGCGCCCTGGCGCCCGCCGGAGCCTGCCCCACCGCCTCGGGCCGGTGGCTGAAGCGGGGTCACTGCAGAGGCACCGTGGGCTGGAGGTCAGGAGGAAGTGTGAGTAAAGGAATATTGCGCAGCGCTCGCCTGTGGAGGTGATTAACCGCCGTGATTGCACTGGGCTCCGCAGCGGCGCTTTGCCCCTGGGCTTGGTTCTTGTTATCTGCCTGCTTCCGAGCAGAGACCCAAAGTCCAGGTTTCTGCAGTGTCCCACACCTTGCCTTGCTTGTGCTGGCTGGGAGGATGGAAGCATCTTCCGAAATGCAGAAAGGGTCAAATTCCTCAGCCCTGGCCTGCTTCACGCTGATTCCATTAGACCTGCTAATTCCCGACGGTGTTCTGCTCCTGCTGCTCCGCTCTCTGAAACAGCCAGCACAGCTTCATGGCCAGGAAGGGGAGCAGAGGTGGATAAATCTGAATAACTTCATCTGCAAAGCAGACCGGAGCTTTTACTGAAGAGGTGATACACAAACCCTCTGCTGGGGCTACTGTGGTGTTCAGTTAAAAGCCACACTTCTTTGTACAGGATTGCTACTGGGGCTGGAATGGTGGTGGTGTGTAGGGTGTCTGGGAAGGCCTGAGTGGGGTCGAGTAACGGGAGTAGGCGTCGGTATTCCAAGTGCCTTGTTTCCCCGCGGCTCACTGCCTCTGTGCTCAGCGCTGCCGGGAGGAGCAGTCCGGAGGGCTGGTTCGGAAGCTTCCCTGGGGGGAGGAATGGTGACTAAGAGAGGAGAAGCCTGGCTGTTTCTCTCCGTCTGGCAACATTAAATTGTGATTAAGAGGAGCTTTATTGTTTCAACAGACCTCCTTTTGCATAACTGTCGTTATGCAGATGAGGCTAAAGCAGCCTGCCTGTACTGGGACATACTGAGGAAAATAATTCGGGAGTTCCCAGCTCCTGGCCTGTGGTTCTCTGAACCGTAGAAGTTGGTACTGGTGAAAGGCTAGGGCTATTTTATATAGCAGAAGTTTTTTAATAAAAGCGTTTTGTTTAAATTATGTGCAGCTACATGTGTGTAAATGTTAATTTAAACTGTCCCAGGATGACAGGTCAGATGTGGCTGGTAGCGTTGGTGTGGCAGAAGGTGGCACCTGTTCACAGGGGAGTGTGGTTTATTTTTTGTGCTCTCAGTCCTGCTGCGCGGGACCAGACGCTGGGCTCTTAGGAGAGATCCAGCTGAAAAGTGAGTGTTTTGAGCCTTAACTCCCTGGTCGACACCGTTCAGAGCTCAGCGTCCCTGGTAGCTAGCTGTGTCTAGGATAGACAGGTATCTTCAGGGCTGAGGTGCTGGTTGTGCGTACTGGTTCAAACCCTGCTTTGTTGTCAGAGTGAACTCGTGGTGCTACAGCCGAGTGGGCCAAGCAGATCTGGGATCTTTCCTGCTGTAACACGGGTTTTACGTCTGTTTTTTTCCAGTGTGGTTGCTGAGAAATGGCCAATGAGAATCACGGAAGCCCTGCAGAGGAAGTGTCTCTCATGAGTCACTCCCCTGGCACCTCCAACCAGAACCAGCCCAGCTCCCCCAAACCCATGCGACTGGTACAGGACCTGCCAGGTACTGGCTGCTTTTGGGAAGGCCCCGCACGGAGCTCCGCAGGGCCGCGGTGGTGGGAGAGAGGTGAAGCGAGGCTGCCGAGGGAGGCTGGGAACGATGCGTGTTTCAGAGCCAGCTGGGACAGTAATGGGGACCTGAAGGGCAGGGCTGTTGTTCAGGACTGCCCCTCTCCTGACCCTCTCGCTGTCTCTCAGATGAGCTGGTGCAGGCTGGCTGGGAGAAGTGCTGGAGCAAGCGGGAGAATCGCCCGTACTACTTCAATCGCTTCACTAACCAGTCTCTGTGGGAAATGCCTGTTCTGGGACAGCACGATGTCATTGTAAGTAAGCACTCGGCTCGAGGGGCTGGGCCACTGCTGTGCTGTTCTGGAGGGGCGAATGCCGTGGACTTGGGATTGCACATGCGGGAGGGTGCCCTGTACCTTCAGAACTCCTCGCCGAGTCCGTCGGTGGTTCTGATGGACTGTTCCTCCTTCAGACATGCACTCAGATAGCACTGTTCCAGCTGTAGTGCTCTGCTCAAAGAACACTCAACCTAGGGGAGTTGTGTTGCATTTTTCTCATCTAAGTCTTAAAAAAAAGCATGCAGACACAGGTCTAGAAGAGAATTTTTTAGCTTCCTGCAGGTGTGAGTGTTGGTGTCCCTATTTCCATCCATGGGAGAGCCTGGGGCAGTGAAATGGGAAGTTGAGAGGGCTCATTGCCTTTGTGTGGGACGCCACAGCAGCAGCCGATGAACTAACGTGTGCGGTTGTTGTTTGGACACTCACAGTCGGACCCTCTGGGATTGAACGCGGCTCCGATGCCACTGGAAGGCGGAATGATAGATGCCTCTGTGGAGAGCAAGCAAAGGAAGAGGAGATTCTCTGAGGAGGTTCCGCCGAGCGGCAACAGTACGAAAAAGCCCAAGGTGGGTCTGGTGCTCTGAAACAAACAGGCTTAAGGATGTTGTTCAAACTGAAACCTAGAGGGTCTGGAGCTTGGACCTGTTTTGTTTTCAACTGTGCAACGTCCGGCAACCCTAGTATAACTCAGGCTGTGACAGCTGGCACTCAGAAAGTACGAAAGTGGAAGCAGACTGGGGCCCTGCCAAGTTGTCATTTCTCTCCTGCAGCCTGAGGTGGAGCATGGGAGCTGGAAGATAACAGATTGTGACTGGGAAACGTGGTAGCTTGCGTGTCCACGTTAGCCGCTGCCAGCAGCAGGCAAAACGCGCTCTGGCAATTCACAGGGGTATCCCGAGTGGTGTACTGGTGCAGGATTGTTAGGTATACCAGGCTCCTTCCCTTTTACCTGTCTCTGTGGGGCAGTAATTCATCTTTTCCATGCCCAGGTGGATGTCCCAGCTGCTCAGCCAGTCCCAAGCTCTCCCAGTATTCCAGGAACCTCTGTTCTGAAGGCATGGTGTGTTTCACCTGAAGATAAACAGCAGGCAGCTCTTTTACGACCAACTGAGTGAGTTGTCTCCATTTGTCTTCTGCTCTTTTCTCGGTGGTAGATTAGAGAGACACCTGGTTTTCCAGACATGTTTGAAGAAGAACCTGAGGGACGTAACACCCCCCTATATCTTTGCAAGGAGTCTTGACAGTTCAATTTCCTGGCTGGTGAAACAGCCCGAGGAAGCAGCTTTAGAAGTGATATTTGATAATTAGCCAATGGTCTGGCCATCCTGATGACATTTGCTTCTGCCACAGAGTATATTGGGACCTGGATATTCAGACAAATGCAGTGATTAAGCAGAAAGCACCATCTGAAGTGCTTTCTCCACACCCCGAGGTGGAGCTGCTTCGATCCCAGCTCATTCTCAAGCTGCGGCAACATTATCGTGAGCTCTGCCAGCAGCGAGAAGGTGAGTTTCTCTTGGGCTGCCCTTATTTGTCGTATCAATCCTGCAGCACTGTGGGATTCTTCCTTCTGGCTTACGTCTCTCTTGTCCTTGTGAGCTCTTTTTGTGATGGTTGCGAACTCGTTAGGCAGAACTCCGATGATCCTTGTCAGAGCTTCTGGGCATCTCTTGACCATATCGATGAAACTCTTTCTGTGCTTCTCCAGGGATTGACCCCCCCAGGGAGTCCTTTAATCGGTGGATGTTGGAGAGGAAGGTGGTTGATAAAGGGACAGATCCTCTTTTACCGAGTGACTGTGAGCCAGTAGTGTCTCCCTCCATGTTCAGAGAGATCATGAATGACATTCCCATCAGGTACTGTTCAAGGACAGGGCCCCGTGCTGGGATGTGTTTGTGTTGGTCTGGTCCAGTGATTTAGCAGCCGCGGTTCTGTGCTTTTGTGTTGTACCTTCATTGATGAAGTGGTAGGGTGCTGGTGATGTAAAGTTTGGGAACTGAACCTGGCCTCCATGCCTTCGTGGCACCTATGGAACTGATGCATGTGAATTTATACTTACCTCAGGTTGTCCAGAATCAAGTTCCGGGAGGAAGCCAAGAGATTGCTCTTCAAGTATGCCGAGGCTGCGAAACGCCTGATAGAATCCAGGTGGGAGTTCCTCTTACAGTGCTGTCACATTCAGGAAAGAGAAAAAGGTTATAGGGATTCTTAGAAGGGGCTGCTGCAGGAAGAGCAGGGTTAGGAACATATGGAAGAAAAACAATAGTGCTGGAGGCATCTTTTGATAGTAATGCTGCAATGAGATCTGATGTTGGGAAGCTGAATGTGTGCAGAGACAGGTGACAGTCTGTGAAATACTGGAGATGGAATGCCTTCTGTCGTTTATCCCTGAGAAAAAAACAAGGGCTTGGGCACTCACTGCTATTAAAGAGCAACAAGCTCTCGGTGTTTTATTATACCTTGTAATATTTTTCTGACAAGTGCTGCCGCAGGGCAGAATTGAGGAAGATAGCCTGGTGGGGAAAATAAAAAGCTTGTTAATGAGGTGGTTTTCTCAGAGTCACAAGCTCTTAGCAGTGGCTGCATTTGAAAACGAGAGGCAAGATCACCGCGGGCCATTCCCGTGGTAGATGAACGCTTTGCCTGCCTCCCCTGTTGCAGACAGGACAGCCACGCTGTGCTCCGGGGGGAGCGTGGCATTCCCGTGTCACACACATGTCTGGAAGCGCTTTCCAGGGGCCTGGAGGGGAGTGACAGGGTACGGCCTGGAGAAAGTGTCACGGCTGTGTTCCCCCACCAACAGAAGGCCGATGTGGTGGGATGGAATATATCGCCGTGCAGCCGTGGGTTAGATTTTGCTTCTCCGTGTTGTGCAGGAGTGCTTCACCAGACAGCAGGAAGGTGGTGAAGTGGAACGTGGAGGACACCTTCAGCTGGCTGCGACGGGACCATTCTGCCTCTAAGGAGGACTACATGGTCAGTGTGTTCTGCGGGTGCAGTTGGGCACGGGGAGCCTGGGAAGGGGCGGGGGCGCGCTGGGGCCAGGCGGAGTCTCTGGAGAAGGCTGCGGTTGCATTCCTGTGCTTCGCGAAGTGGGAGCGGCAGCGGGACACTGCGTCCCGCTGGTGTAAGGGGCTCTGGCTCTCTGCTTCTGCAGGACCGCCTGGAGCACTTACGCAAGCAGTGCGGGCCCCACGTGTCTGCTGCAGCCAAGGACTCCGTCGAAGGCATCTGCAGTAAGATTTACTACATATCCCTTGAGTACGTCAAGCGGATCCGGGAGAAGCATCTCGCCATCCTCAAAGAGAACAATATATCCGGTACGCAGTCAGCTCCGAAGAGCCGTAGGGCCGCGGCCCTGCGACGTAAAGGCAGTGTGCTCTGGCCTGTCCCAGTTCAGACAGCGTTATCCGTTGGGAGGGCTGCTGCGAGTCCGCGAGGTGGAGTTTAGTGGAGTCAGAAATGGCCAGTCCAGCACAGAACTTGGCTGGTAGATTCCAACAGGGCTGTGCTGCGGCAGGGTGCCCTCCATCAGAGGCTGTAATACGGACCATCATGAACGTGTGATTTGTTGGGATTAGGCAGCTTGTCAGGAGCTGAGCACACCAACGGGGCGTTGGAGCGTTTCCCTGGACCATGCTTTCTTGCTCTGCTTCTTCATGACTTGCTGGGGACAGCTGGCACACTCCCCTTTGTCATTCCAAGCGCTCTCTCCTCCTGTCTTCTTTGCCGTGTTTCTCATTCCAGGCACCTTCAGCACTCCTCTGCCTCCCAGCACGTTGCTGTGCACCTTTCTTCCTTTCCCAGCGGAAGATTCATGTTCCTTGATCTTTTGTTTTCTTCCTAGTTGATGTCTGTACTTCAGCCTCTAGTCACCTTTTCCTTCTTCCATGGTCCCTGCTTTTTTCGTCACCACCATTCTGTTAGTCCTTTTCCTTTTTGGGTCCTAGCCCTCCTCAGACTCCCGTCAGATCCCAGTGTCTGCGTTTTGCTGCTTGTTTGTGCTGCTTCTCTTCCCACCTGATGGAATCCGTGATTCCTTCTGACCGAAATTCCCATGAGCTCTCTTTTTTCTGAAGCTGAGGCTGAGCTGCTGTCTGTGATGGGTAATCACAAGGTGGCAGGAAGATTCCTTTGCCTCCTGCACTTGGCAGCCTGGGAATTCTGTGCTTCGGATGAGTTTGAGGCAGACTGAAATAGTAACGACAAGACGAGAGTTTGACTGATCTGGACTGTGCCTCGTGGTGTGGAATGGTTGTGTGCAGTCTGCTGTGTTAGGGATGGAGCAGTACTGTGAAATGCGTCCTCCCTGTGCCTCGGCAGTGGGATTAATGTGGGGAATCAGCCCTGAACCCGGGCAGTCTGCAAGATCTTTGAAGGGCTGCCACAGGTTTGGGGGTGACCAGTCTGCTTGTTAGCCCTGTTCCTGTCGCTGCGTGTTTTCAGGTGGAAGGAATATCTGTCCAAGACATCCTGGGATTCTAATGGGCTGCCTTTCTCTCTGTTCTCCGTAGCTGAGATAGAAGCTCCGGAGGTCCAGGACAGGCTGGTGTACTGTTACCCAGTGAGGCTGGCCATCCCCTCCCCGCCGCTCCCCAGCGTGGAAATGCACATGGAAAACAACGTGGCGTGCGTGCGGTACAAGGGGGAGATGGTGAAAGTGAGCCGCAACTACTTCAGCAAGCTGGTAAGGGCTGGCGCCGGCCCCACGTGCCCTGTGGCAGACTGCTCTGCGGCGAGAGGTGTCGTTTCTGCGTGCTCCGGGAGGAGAGGCTGTGCCCAGGGATGGAGCGCTGACCTGGCGGGGGCTGCCAGACACTGTGCCGATGGCAGCAGAAATGAGGGCGGCTCCCTTTGCTGTAGTCAGGGTCGGGCTGCTGCTGGGAGTGCTTCCAAGGTGTTCTGGGTGTGCCTCGGGTACGTGCGGTGCTGCAAGGACGGTGGGACTCGCAGCGGGGCGGCCCTGGATGAGAGACGCTCGCTGGCGTGGTGCGCTCGCTCGTGCTGGTGAAGAGCGTGCGGTTCATGCGCACGGTGAAAGCAGATGTGCTGACAAGCCTCCACGCAGAGCCCCACCTGCTCCTGCTGCTCATCAGCATCCCTCCCCATGTCCTGGTTCGTTTGTGTGCTCTTACCTCTGGTGGTTCCGTTTGGGTTTAATGCCTGGGCTTTCTCTTCCAGTGGCTTCTCTACCGGTACAGTTGCATTGACGACTCTGGCTTTGAAAAGTTTCTGCCCAGGGTTTGGTGCCTTCTCCGTCGCTATCAGGTACAGTCTCATCACAGTTGTACATCAGAAAGCCCCAGTAACTGTGGGGAACTGAACTTGTCTTTGCTCTGGGGGAGGCCCACAGCTCTGGGAGCCTGGTGCAAAATAGGGCTTAAACTGGGGCTGCTCCCAGTGTTTTGAGATGGGACTGTGGTCTGGGGAGCAATTGTGATCTTGACAGGAGGCCTCGGCGGGGTAAAGAAAAGCTTTTATGAAAGAAGCCTTCAGCAGTTGTTGACTCTGAGGGCCAGCTAAAGGTTCGTGGGGGATATATGTGAAAATTGACAGTTGGTTGTTTGGGGCCTGAGTTGGATGAAATATCTAAAGAAGCGTTCTTGGGTATGTGCAGGGGACCTACAGGAATTTGAGAAAGGCCGAGGGGGCCCTGCGTACCTAGAGGAGTGGGTGCATGGACGTGTGGCCCTGGGCCCGTGGTCAGTGAAGGGAGCGGCAGGAACAGCGAGTGCAGGCACGGCTCACCGGGGTTTGCTCTCCTCAGATGATGTTCGGTGTGGGTCTGTACGAAGGGACTGGTCTGCAGGGGGCACTTCCCGTGCACGTCTTCGAAGCCCTCCACAAGCTCTTTGGAGTGAGTTTTGAGTGCTTTGCCTCGCCCCTGAATTGCTATTTTAAACAGTACTGTTCGGCCTTCTTGGATACAGACGGGTATTTTGGATCCAGGGGGTGAGTCTTACGTTCCAGCGCCCTTGCCGTGTTTCCGTGTGGGTGTGTGCACGTGCGGTGACTGGAGGCAGGCTGACGTGTCTGCTTCAGGGGGTGGCTGGCTGCGTGGTGTCTGCTCCGAAGGATCTGTACTTGGGGGCTGCCTAGAGGCGGGGCCGGGGCAGGGGCCGGCTGGGGGG